TCTGTTGGATGTAATGACTTCCAGTTCTTTAAAAGATTTCACTTGTCTTGGGCTTTAAAACTTAATGACCAGTTACAGGGCCAGTCTGAACTGGACCGGACAGAAGCAAGAACAAAATGTCGAAGCGTGTTTCCTGTGGCACAAAAATCAATAAAGCAAGAGACAACTGTTGCGGCTACTTCAGGTTCAGATACTCTTAACAGTTTTGTGTCTAACAATTTTCATTTATATATAAGCCCTGGCTTAGCTAGAGGAAGCATGTTTGGTGAGCGACAGAGCACACTCCAGGGTAACGTGACCAATCAGAAGAACATTTTCTTTTTTTAACTCATAAATTAGCATTAGATCTGTCATGATTACAACTCTTTCAATATGGGACTGACTGACATTGCTGCTAAGTCTACTTTTTAAAACGTCAACTTGAAAAAACATTTTTTTATAATTATTTCTGATTATAATTGGTCAATTCAACTTTGTCATGAAGTTATCTCCTGCATTAGCTTCTAATAGAAAATAGGTGGTGACACTCTAGGATTAGACAAGCCTGACAGATCTACGTCACACGGTCACTTAACATTCATGCAGTCACCCATCTTGACTTACGACGGGGAAGGCTGTTGTTGGGTTAACGTCCAGGAAATGGCGGAGAATGTCTCAGCTAGCAGAAGCTAACCATTAGCATAGCAACTCCACCACAGCAGAACTCCTTCAAGCTTGTGTTATTTGTGGAAATAAAGCATCAGTGTTGCAAAGTAAACAGTCAGTGGTAGGGTGTCGTTGCTGTTAGCCAGTCCGAGGTGAGATGTCCAAATATCAGGAAATAAGAGTCTAAATCCTGCTATCTGCTGCTACTTGTTCATCCAGCTGACTTCTGCATCTTCAAACAGACACACCAGAGCTACCCCCCCCCCCCCCCCAGAGAACAACTTTTGAGACAATCACTCCTACTAGAAACCACTGCAAATGTATTCAAATATGAGTAAAGTTAATCTTTAATGTTTTATTTGTGTCCCTGTTGTATCTTTTTACTAGTCTGGCAACAATTCGTATAGGAAAGGTTGTTTTACCTTTTTGCTGACAGTTTTGACCACTCCTGTGGTTTTCTTCAGAGCTAGTAACTAATGGCGTCGTCGTTTCCTTCTCCGTTTATCTGCAGGCAGCAGAGGGCAACACCGCCCTTTGCTGCATGTGTCCTCACCATCCTCTGCTGGCAGCAGAGTGCGACACCGTCCACCGGCTAAATGGAGAAGAAAGTGATGTCACCCCTAGCATCTAGCTCTGAAGAAGACCACATGAGCGTTCAAGAATGTCAGCATTAAGCTAAAACTACCTTTCTCGTGTTGAAAGAATGAACCTAATAATGTAATAAGAAGAAACACGCAGTAAGAATACACAAAAGAAGCTTTCGTATTTATGTAAAGATATATTCTGACTATGACCCATAGACAGGGCTCAGAGGCAAGGGCAGAGTCTATGGTTGTATTTCAAATTTTCTCTGCACACAATTGGACAGTGCTATCATGTTTCAGAGTAACGAACAACGTGACACATGCATCGCTATGGAAACCAGGCAAATACACCGTCAAAAAAGATATGTTCTTTTGCTAAATTAAGGACATATATCTGCTCGAGTCTCAAAGAAAGGCTCAAGTCTAAATAATTCAAAGTTGATTCCAAAGCTGTTTCACATGAGCACACTTCCTGAGCAGACACCATCTTTGTGTTTTTCTCTGTTGCAGCTCTGGTGCTAAGTCCACCTTCAGAGCAAGTAATTTTGCTGTTGCTACATTTTATCTAGATTTCTAGGCTACTACCTTTTTAATCATTTTTCAATGATGACTGTATACTGGTTTGATTTAATTCAACCTATCAGTACAGTCGATGAGGGAGTTCTACACAGCAATCATCGAGTCCATCCTCACCTCTTCAATCACCGCGTGGTATGCAGGGGCCACCATCAGGAACATTAAAGGCTGCAGCGTGTCATGCAATCGGCTGAGAAGGTCATTGGCTGCAAACTCCCCTCCACACAGGACCTGTACACCTACAGGACACTGAGACACGCAGATCGGATCACAGCTGATCCGTGTCACCCTGGACACGGCCTCTTCGGCTCACTGCCATCTGGCAGGAGGCTTCGATCCATTTGGATCAGAACATCTTGCCACAAAAACAGTTTATTCCCCTCTGCAGTCGGACTCATTAATGTCAATCGTAGAACAGCCCACTCCAGCTACTTTGTTACAGTCACATGACCCGGTGTTGTGTTCGCACCTGAACTGACATGCTCTGACCAGTACCTACACTGACTTGTATAAAGTAGCTACTTCTCTAATTACTGTCTCCCTATATAATCATGGTTGTGTTTTTCTACAGCTGGAGATAGGCACCAGCCCCCCGCGACCCTGTGAGGCTAAAGAAAATGGATGGATGAATGTGTTTATTTCTTAATTCAAATTTTGCTTCTAATTTATTTTTCTTGCACCAAGTACCGCATGAATTTCCTAATGTTGTGATTTTCACACATATGGCAATAAAACTCTTCTGATTCTGACTCTGGTGATTAGGGATATGTGTGAGAATTACAAATGTGGTGTGATTTTTACAAAAGGTCTTGTTGTTAGTATTATTTTTCACAGTGAGAATAGAGTAACAAATTACCAGATTTTCTTGTGTGCGACCTATTAATGCTACTGGGGATCCCAAAAATAAACAATTACTTCTTATCACATTTTTATAATTGCAAAATGTTGAACGGGAATCCGTAAGTTTAGGCTGGTATGGTGTCTTTTCTCATAATCATTTTAGGTCTCATCACCTCCATCAGAACAAAAGAAAAGTTTTCAGACTGTCCTTATCATTCTGCCATTTGTTAAAAAAGGCTGAGACACTTGGTCAGTCTAAAAATGTTTGCAGTGGGGTTTTTATAAATAGTTGATTTCCCTGCAGTTTTACCGGCTGAAACTTTCTTTTTGGCCCACTCACACATCTGCAAATTTCATATTTAGACGTAGCTATGCTCCATTTTTTTGCATCCTGTATCTACTTTTACATTGTCTGAATTAAAATCCAACAAGTACGCCAACCCAAACTGAAAAGTGCACGTGAAACATTATAAACTAAAGCTGAAACAACCTCTCATAATAGCCAAATACATTAACCGCTGGATAATCTTCTCAAAGAGCTACCTGACTGATCTGATTGTGACCCACTGTTTGCATGATGATTAAACTCATATTTAGAGATGATTATTACATAACTTGTGTTTCCAGATGAACAAGACCATCGGCAGGCTTTTTGTTGTGCAATCGGTTTTCACATTTTCAAGCTGTCAGAAGAGAATCTTGTATTTCTCTCTCAGACATGAATTATTGATAATTTGACTATGATAGCACTTGTAATGAAAAAGTAATGCACTGGTGAAAAAAAAACGTGCTTGAGCTCATTGATCGATAGAGATGTAAAACACTTGCTCTGAGATATAGTTTTCCTCTTTAGGTTAACCGTCTGTGTACTGAAAGTGTCGTTAATGATATTTTTCCTTAATGTTTACTGATGACACAATAGTCATCACTCTCACATGGTACATGCAGTACCCTCAAATGTTTTGTGTTTTACTGCAAATAAAACAGAAATATCAAAGGTGCTATTTGTAAGAATTCTTCTGTGAAATAATCACAAGTTTAACAGTCCAATGTCTCAATCGTGTTAAAAAGAAGGTTTTACTGAATCAAATGGCTGGGGGGTTATCAGTTTTCTCCATAAAAAAAAACCTAAAGTAACAACGACGTAGTAACTGTTGACAATCTGCGAGTCCGAGAGGTTGCCGTGTCTTCGGCGAGCTAATGCTCCAGCACCAACCTTTATAATTCAACACCGGCCAGCAAAAAGCTCTAGTCTATTAAAGAACTGAAGCCAGTAAACAAGAGCGACCATGAAGTTAATTGTACCCCTATGTTGTACCCCTTTGTTTTATTCTAATATTGAGAGAAACAGCAACATTGTGCTAACAATACTAACGATGAATTAGAAGCAAACAGTCGGCTCTCAAAATATCTTGTTACTTTTTCAATTACCAAAAACGCAATATTACAGTGAAATGTATGTGTGAAGTGACTACTGAGTCAAATGTGGCCTTTTACTTCCTTTTGAGTCGTTCAGAACTATAACAGCAAGATGCCAAACAAACACATTTCCTTTCATGTCAAAACCCTATTACCATAATGTATTTATCTACTTATCAACTTACTGTGTATGACTCGTTTTTGTCATCTAGAATCTTCCGGCTCCGATCCGTACCTGGCAACAACCATGAAATTCACAAAACGGGAGTGAGAGTATTTGTTTATTTTTTGCCTAAAAAATAGACGGCAGTAACCACATTTGACCACAGGATGGCTTTACAAATTGCACCTTTAGAGTTATTAGTCCCTCCCTCCCTCCCTCCATTGACATTTTAAAGGTGTTTTTGCTTTGTCTGGTTGTTCTGCTTTGAGATGAGTGCACCTGTAGTGCTCTAGTGTCATTTGTCCAACTGTGTTATTGTTTCCTGTTATTCTCTCAGTGTGACACTGTGGGATGTCCCCTTCTTAGGCTACAGAGTTTGGTGGTGCACTAAATGTACCTACCACCCACTCCACTCAACCACCACTGCATGAATCACGTTTCATCTTTAGCAGCAAAATTCAGTTACGGCTTCTTCTTTTTCTGACCAGACCAATTGGTGCAAAGGCACGTGCACAGGTGGCCAAGGCTGCAAAAGCAAACCAAATAAAATACTATTTTGTACATTATGAGGCTTCTCTTTTCTCTCTAAAGCTCCACTTTCTCCACCCTTTCTGATCCAGAAACAAAAACAAACAAACAAAAAAAACACTCAAGCACACAAACACTCGCAAAATATTCATGTATATTCCTTCTAAAGAAGCTTTGTTCAGCCAAATGTTAAAGTCTCTCCCCTACATCCTCCTCCTCCTCTCTCCTTTTCACTCTCTTCAAAACTCTTTAGGCTTTTCCAGCTGAGCGACTCGGGCTGAGGCGGGCGCAAACGCACGAGAGGGAAAGTCAAGTCGTGCTGGACTGGCGCGATTTCCTCGCACGGGCTTTCTTTCATTTTTTTTATTTTTTTTTTACTAGACGGGAAGAGTCGAACCGCAGCAGAACCATGCTCCTAACATAATGCAACATGCCGATCGGAGGTTTGCGAAGCATGGCTTTCCTTTTAACCTGCTTCCTGGTGTTTGGGTGAGTACATGGCAACTCTTTCTCTGGGTGTTCTCTGACTTTTACGCGCGGCAAGACAGCAGAATGCGCATCAGGAAAATAAGCAATTCCTACATGTTTGTAGCTCCTGAAAAGAAACGGACAAATAACTGATGATAAATCCGACTGGCGGGGGTTTGTTCATGTGGTTCCAGTGTGGGAAGCGTTTGGGGAAATGAGCACAGTGAGACCAGCATCTATTTGGATAACATCACGCGTATATTGGATAGATTACTGGATGGCTATGACAACAGGCTGCGACCTGGATTTGGAGGTATGATAACGAGTCAACCCTGTGTGTGATTTAGCTGACATCCTCTCATAATGAATGGTTTTACATTTCTCCCCATAGAAGATAAAGTTTCACTCCATGTGTGTGTGTGTGTGTGTGTGTGTGTGTGTGTGTGTGTGTGTGTGTGTGTGTGTGTGTGTGTGTGTGTGTGTGTGTGTATTTCGATTTTTCTTGTTAAATACACAGATCATCCTAACAAAACTCTCTGCTAATGACTCATAATCACGTGTGTATTGTATTTCTAAGCAAAATTAACTGGATTTATTTATTCAGCTTTCATTACAATTTATATTAAATGGCATTACATGTTAAAACCCAAAGTTGCTATTCTGAAAGCCATGCATTTATTCATTCATCTGCTGTAGGTCCTGTCACAGAGGTCAAAACTGACATCTTTGTCACCAGCTTTGGGCCCGTGTCAGACGTCGAGATGGTGCGTAAGAAGCTCAAATTCTAGATTTCATTCACTTCCACGTTTTTCACTACTTATAAAGCTGAACTAAGTCTACTGTGTGAACAAATGTGGAGTTTTTACAGTAACTCCAGACATATAGTCTTAACACAGCTTCCATTATTCCAGCATTTAGGCTGGATGTCATTAGTGCAGCTTAGGGTTTTAATCTGGTTGACAATCCCCCCTTCCACTAGAGAGAGAGAGGCTGATGTTGGGACAGGATAGGCTGGCTTGTCCTGCCGTGGGATAGGTTGACTGATGTATGTCTTTTGTGCTGCGCTCTGCTTTAGATATCCAACAGCCTCTAAAACCACTAATATGCTGGCGGCGATTGTGTTGTGAAGCCTGTAAGCAGCTGTTAAGAGGACCGAGGTCATCTGTTTGATGAAGAGTCAGACTTTATTTTGACTTTACAAATTAAATTAATGACCAATTTTAATCTGTTGTTTGCCAAACGCAGAAAAAGTCAGAAAACAGGAAATGTCTCCTAACTTTTCAGCTTTCCAGACACTGAAAATAATTTTACAGTAGCCAAAATAAAAGTGCAAAAAAAAAGAGAAGAAGAATAAGAAAAAGTACAGAGTGAGAAAACAACTCATCAGGCTGCCAGTGCTATATCAAGCTGGTTTCATCAAAACCGTGGCTCATAAACCCATCTGTCATTCTCTCTGGGGCACCAGATAATAATGGCACAGGATAGCAGACGCGGGAAATGCATTAGCATTGGTAAACGCATTGTTAACACAAACTCTAACCCTGTCTAGGAATACACGATGGACGTGTTCTTTCGTCAGACCTGGATCGACGAGCGGCTAAAATTCGAGGGTCCGATCGAGATCCTGCGGCTAAACAACCTGATGGTCAGCAAGATTTGGACGCCCGACACTTTCTTTCGGAATGGCAAAAGGTCGATCTCTCACAACATGACCACCCCCAACAAGCTGTTCCGCATCATGCAGAACGGAACTATCCTCTACACCATGAGGTAACCATGCTGGACGGCGAGATCCCAACTCAGCCAAAAACCCAGATAGAGCACAGCCCTGGAACGAGATTTGAAATGAATAAGCACAGACATTAAAAGCCATGAAGAGCACCTTTCCAATAGAAAAAAAAAACTAAATATGTGCCATCTGATACAGAAAACAGCCTTTGAAAGCAATTCAAATGAAAACAAACAACTTGCTTCCAAAAGCTGATATGCAGGATGATTTGAGGAGGAAAAAAGTCCTAGAGATGGCAAAGATCCACAGTTTTTGAATATTTTTAGCAACTCTCCTTTTTTACTTTCACTCCATAGCTTCAAATTTAAATAAAAAAAATGAAAACAATCAGTGGGAGCAAAGAAAACCAACTTTAAGACCTTGAGTGATGCTAGATGTTAGCCAGTACTTTTATTAAAATAAAGATAATGTAATGAACTATGATCTTGTTTTGGAAACATTCATCCTATACCTAAACTATAACTCAAACTCTTCATCCCATGATTTCCCTCCGTGAGCGTTGAATTATTAAATCATTTGAGATATCTCGCTCTCTTCCATCGTTGTGCCGGCGAAATTTCCTCAAAGTTCTGACCTACTTAGCAGCAGCGTGCCTGTCTTCATTTTGTAAACCATAAGTGATTACAGCGAGGATCCAAACTATGTAAGACGTCTGTGTTAGTCCTAACACACCTATGTTTAAATAAGTGTCATTTCCAGAAATATTCAGAAATAAATCAGATGGTTTTAGTAAAATAGATGATGAAATCCTAAACCTAGAGGTGGGACTGTGAGGTTGAATGACAGTGGGAGGACTTTTAAACGGGACCTGCAGTGCGGGAGACTTTCTTTTAGTTTTCTCAGTAACGTTTTACTTTCCTTATCTGTAGAAACATAATGAGGTTTTGTTGGCACTTTTTTTGGGATGAATATTTGGAAAACATTAGTTTGGCAGAAAATGCAGCATTGGCATCATGATAAGATGGAAAAGCCAGGATCTTCTGACTTATTTAAAGGTGTGGAATACTGAAAACCCATTTTTTAATCATTATTTCTGACTATATACATTTTTCATGCACGCTGAACATGTAAATATTCTCCAACACGTTTCTCCTGCATTAGCTTCTGATAGAAAAAAGACGATGAAACTCTCGGATTTGAAATTCTTGACAGATCTATGTCACACTCACCCATTTTTGCTCAAGACTGGGAAGGCTGTTGTTGGTTTAGCATCCGGGAAACAGCATAGAATGTCTCAACTATTATAAGCAAACTGTTAGGATTAGCAACTCTACCATATGGCAGAACTCCTCCAGGTTTGTGTTATTTGTGGAGAAAAAACATCAGCGTTGAAAGTCAGTGGTAGAGTCGTTTTGCTGTTATCCAATCTGAAGCAAGATGTCCACATATCAGGAAATAAGACTCCAAAACCTCCGTCATAACTCCAGCTGTGACGATGATCGCTACTAGTTCCTGGAAATGGTGCACTGGTATATTTCCCCTAAGAGCGACTTACAAGGCATTCAGTCCCACTAGAGACCACCACAAATGTTTTGATTAAAGAAGTGAACGACACCTTTAAATGTTCATCTGTGCTTCTAAAACAAAGAAATTTACCTCATGTTGCTTGTTAAATTTGACTTCATTTGTTTATTATTTATTATTTATTATCATCTGTATCTCCTGAAGTGTTTCCCCATCTGTATTTATCCTCAAACACATTTTTTATTTGAGCGAGTTAACTTCTGGATACCACAGAAATCTGCAGCCATCAAATATGAATCAAAAGCTAATTGAATCTCTTCTTTATTCTGATAGATTAACTATAAATGCCGAGTGTCCCATGCGGCTGATGAACTTCCCAATGGATGGCCATGCCTGCCCACTCAAGTTTGGGAGTTGTGAGTGTATTTTTTTTATTTCTTACGGCTCATTGGTTTGACAGATGGTGTCGCTCTCAAATTATCACTCTGTCACAGAGTAACTGACCATCTGACAAGATGTCTTCAAAGATTTCATTTTGAAACATCAAATACTGTATATGTGGAAACTGGAAATAAACATGCCCATCATTCACCATGCGGGGTTATTTATAGAAGGATTTGATCGTTTTTTTTAAAGCAAGTGTGAATCTGAGTGTTTTAGAATAAACATGCTATGAAACCAGGCTCCTTTGTCATTTAAATTGATTACATTTTTTAACTGAACATATTTTCTAAACTTGTACTGTTTTTGTTTAGATGCTTACCCCATCAGTGAGATTGTTTATACGTGGAAGAAAGGACCTCTGTCTTCTGTCGAGGTGCCACAGGAGTCATCCAGTTTGTTGCAGTATGATCTTATTGGCCAGACCGTTTCAAGTGAGAGACTAAAGTCAAACACAGGTGAGTTTTCTCATAAACAGGCTCAAAAGGTGGGTTAAAAACAGCGTTAGACGCATGAGAAATAAAGATGTTTGCAGCCACTGCTTAATGACTGTGAACTAAATCAGCCTGACATGTCTTTCTGATGTTTCCATGGGAATATCTAAGTAATAACACTGTGATAGAAAACAAATCTAGTTCAAATCAGCAAACGCTTAGGGTAATGCACTTCAAAAAGATGGATTGTGACTATTGAAAGAGGTTTTTTATGCTTTAATGTGATTTATTTTTTTAATATAAGTTGTTGTTGCTAATTCTTGCAGGTGAATATGTCATCATGACTGTTCACTTTCACCTCCAGAGGAAAATGGGGTTCTTCCTGATTCAAACCTATATTCCCTGCATAATGACCGTCATCCTGGCACAAGTTTCCTTCTGGATTAATAAAGAATCTGTTCCAGCTCGGACCGTTTTTGGTAAGTTTTGAACTTCGTTAAACGCAGCATGCATTAAAAACACAAGGGGGAAGTAAAATACTAAGTTAAACTATTTGGAAAATTCAATGCGAGTTTAGTTTAATTTGGCAAAATAAAAATAGACAAATGGTCTTGCAAATGAATGAGAGTTTTGTCTTATGAATTTAGTTCAAATTCAGATTGTTTTTTCTTCTAGCATGAGTGTGCTCACTTTGCATAAAGCTGTATTGCTGAGCAATTCAGTGTCACTGAAGCAGCAGTTCTTGTGGTGTAAATCCTCACATTTTTATTAGTTCAAAAATGTTTAAGAGTAAAAAGTCTATGTGTCCATCTACAAGAAAAATTGCAAAGGTTACTCTTAATTAAAACTCAACTTTTGGGAAACTAAAGGGGACATATGTCCTTTTTGCTAAATCATAATAGTTCTATTGTCGATACAAAACACATTCATAGAGTTCTCACAAAATCCCTCTCACGTAAACTGCTTTCAGCAGTTCTATTCTTGACATTTTCAGTATGTTCCAGAATGAGCCATTTCAGGGTTCTGTCACTTTGAAGTTCAACTTTATTCATCTCTAATAGGAAGGAATGCCTTGTAAATTGTTGTCTGATGCACCTGTTTGAGGACATAGAAGTCAGCCGGTGGAGAAAGTAGCTTTAGACAGCAGAATATGGAGTAATTTCCTGATATTTGGACATCTTGCCTCTGATTGGGTGACATGAAGGCGACTCTTTCACTGACTCAATTTTATTTGTAATGTTGATGTTTTGTCCCCACAAATAGCACATGCTTGGAGGAGTTCAGCTGTGCTGTGGAGTTGCTAATGCTAATGGTTAGCTTCTACTAGCCGAGTCTCTCTCTACTCTTTCCTTGATGCTAAATCAACAACAGCCTTCCCCGTCATGAGCCAAGATGGGTGAGTCCATGAATGTTAAGTGACAGTGTGACGTAGATCTGTCAGACAAGTGTTTTCCTGTCTATTTCAGAAGCTAATGCAGGAAACGGGTAGAATACTATTTTCATGTTTAATCTCAAAGTGACTGATCATTAAAATATATAGGTAAAAAATGGTTTCTCAGTGAAACTGCTCCTTTAGAAAGCAAGTTGAAGCTGGCCACGCCCACTCCTCCCTGCTCAGACTGCTATATGTTTAGAAACATTAATACCTGGGAGGAGCTCAGAGCACAGCCACTGTTCCTCCCGCTGCTGCTCTTTCTTGCACATGAGAACTGGCTCTATGCTAGTTTTCCCTTTTGTGACGTCACAAATGGGGACTCTATGAAACAGCTTGTTTTAGGCACGTAATTTCTAAAGTCAAACACTGACAGAAAACAAATGGATGGACTTTTTTCCCCACATTCACTGTTTAAAGAGGCAGTAGAGACCCACATGGCACCAGAAAAGAATTCAAAAATCATGTTTTGTAAAAAAAAAAAATGTCTCTTTTAAATGAATAAACTGAAATGGTTTCAAACAATTAACTACTGTTTAGAATAGAATAGCAGAATATTCCTAAAGTTGCCTACATTAGTGTCAGCATTTACACACATCTGGTTGTGTATCTGCGATCTCCAATCACCATACGTATTTGGCAGTGGGGTTTCTACTCTTCTATTCTTAGATTGTTATTGTGCTTAATAATGATGGAAAGTCATTACAGCATGCTCTTTTCATACACGGAAAGTCATTTTAGCCCATTTGCTGTAAATAGGAAAAAATAAAATAAAAACGGGGAACTGTTTGTCTGAGCAGTTGCATAAGAACGGATATTGGTTTTCTTCTTGCAAGAATGACCAAAGGTTCTTTTTTTTATTTACTGTTTTAAATTTTCTGCTTCAAAAAATAAGTTTCTTCAACTTGCACGTTGCTCAAAGAAAATGTTTTTCTTGTGATGACAGTTGAGTTGTTGTTGCAAGCATCCCCAAAGTACGTGGGAGCATATTTTGGTAGGCGGAAGATTTGTTGTCACTTCAACAAAGTACGCATTTTGGACCAAAAAATAAATAAATCAATGAAAATCCTATGCAGGCATGTGGCCCTTCATCTTTCACACTCTGATTCATTTGAACTAACAACCACTACCTTTCACCAGGAAACACAAAAAGACATTTGTTGCAATATGTTTTAAACTCTAAACATTTCCTCGATTCCTCCTCCACTGAATTAATTTGGAATAAATGTTGTTTTTTTATTTGGCTATGGTTGAGCCGAGAGGAGGAGGATATTTACTTGGCCCTCTTCTGAGCACTCACAGGTTCCGCTTGCTCGCATTACATTACGCTACAGTTGCCACCAATCTTTAGCCTCGGGAGCAGAGAGGGCGAGACACACCAAACAAAGGACAGGGATGCAACGAGAGGAACAAAAAGAGACAAAGAAGATGAGCAAATGTGTGAAAGTACATGGGCGATGCTATCTTTCAAAATTCTATCCCTACTTGTGTTAAAATTCAACAAGCTGCAGCTGAGCGGAGTTACTCTGCAGGCTCTTGTGGCTCCGAGTTCTGCTGTTTTCCTGTGAAGTGAGCCAAGAGCTCCAACAAGCTCTCACCCTTTGTAGAAAATAGATTCCAGTCATCTGCATTAGCATGGGAGCTGAGGTCGCATGGAGAAGCATATCTGTGGCAACTCATTAGCTTCACTCATCCTGCTGTTTCCATTTCTCCCAGCATTGAGTATGGAGTCATTTGCGTGATCTCTAGATTGACGCAAATTAAACCATGCTGGGTATTTTAAGACAATGGCAAGCAAAAGTTAAAATGGTCGCTGTTGTCTTGAATCATTTTTGTCCAGACATTGAACTTCTTAGGAAAAACAAGCAGAAAACTACAGTGTGAAAATGAAAATTTTGGTCACACATACATTTTTTTGGGCTGTTTTGTTTGCAGTAATTCTTGTCCATTAAACCACTGAGAGAGGATGTAAGACAAAAATATGATGGAAAAAAAAACTATAAATCAATTCATTTATTAAACATTTTATATTTTGTTTATTAAATGTTTGGCATCATCACAGTATGTGTTACATTTTAATTTCACAAAAGACCGATTGGACAACAAAATAAATGGTGCGCTGTTTTGCCACGGCTTTCCACTGTAATGTCCTCGTTTAGCCATTAGCTGCCTTTTTAGCCGATGGGTGTGTTTTCACCGGCCACAAAGTGTTTTGGTCATATCCCAGAATTGTAGTATAGTGCGCCACTAAAGTCATGCTTCAGGTCTATTTTTTACCTGCTATGCTTTCGGAACGCATCAAACTCAGCAGTTCAGATCGGGCCAGGCAAGAAGTCAAACACGGGTGCAGTGTAAATGTCTAGCAACTTTCAAAATAAGTCACGTGTGTATTTCCAGATTCTTAACTGGTAAAAAATATGTTATTACCTGTAACACCTCCAGAGATGAGGTAAAAAGAACAGAAAATAAACCACAGACCTTCTTTCCATTTCCCCCATTTTCTTTATTATTATACTTAAAAAAATCTTTTTATATAAATATTTTAAGCTTTTTATTTTATTTATTTATATAATAAGTACTTTGTTATTTATGTTAGTTTTTTTGTTGTTGTGAAGCGTCTCGTGATTTTAATCTTGAGAGGTGCTATAGAAAAATATCCGCTTCTGCTTCTTCTTCCTCCTTGCTTGTTATCGCGTGAACTGTCAAATCATGCGTGATTTTACAATTCTCAAGTGATTTCATGATATTGCGGGAACAGATGTGTGGAACACTTTTGCTGCCATTTCACGTGCCTATTGAAAAGCCCGGGTCAGTCCAAGTGTAATGTTTTCATATTCTATTTTCCAAAATGGATTCAGCCAATCTGATGGTCTTCCACTTGCCTTGAATCCCACACCTGGTTTTAGATGACTGGAGCTGAACTGCATTAGGAATGAGACAATAAAACTATTCATCCTGTATCAAGTCATTAAAGTTTCCTGCTTTTGAGTTCCTAAATTTCTCTCAACAGTCACAGGGGCCATAAAGCCATTATGTTAGCTGGTTCTATTAATATTTTGGATGGTGCACAGAAAACAGGAGCAGGGAAGAGAAGTGACATCACATTAAGTTGTAGTGTGCCATGTTCTGGCTTGTCAACAGCCTCTCCACCAGCTGAGAGTCCCTTGAGCACAAGTCTTACAGACTTAATTGAGTGTGGCCTAATTTGTACCTTACTTTTTTCCTGTAAAAGCACATAAATGCCCCAAGCACTTCATTTCTGTCCTGTCTTCATACCCTCCTCCTTCCCCTCTACACTCTTCCTTGCCATTCGCTTGACTTGGTTTACACTGACAAGCTTTCTTTCATCAGCCTTTGTTCCGTTTTTTGCAAATTTTCAATATATGTCAGATAAATTAGCTATTGGTTGACTGTTCGAAGAGGCTGCATTTGAGAGTTGTTAGCTTTTACTACTGAAGTGCTATGGAAATGCTTTGGATATATTATTGGGTGCATTAAATCCCCTCAGTAAGTCCCAGCACTGCTAATGAAATGTGCACGGCTAAAGCATACATTTGTTAAAAGCATGGGCAGCAATGTTCAATGGCCCTTTGTTCTCTGCTTGCTTTAGCTTGATGAAAGTGAATTAGATATATACTTTGTTAATGGACCTTTAAAAGGCTTGTTCATTGTTAACGTCATCACATTAAGCGCTCAATAAGGGCAAAACATAGGAACATTGTTTCCTGTTGGTTACATTTTTGTTTGGATTTATACATTTAAATGTCTCCAAAAAATTTTGTTTTTGTACTCTTACAGAATTTTTTGACAAGCGTAATAGATTTTGCAAGTTATGCTGGAAAATAGACCCAAAGCTATTACATAAAAGTAAAAAGTAGAAATACTTTATAAACAAGAGTACAGCCTTACATAAACTAAAACAGTAATCAGAATCAGTTTAGGTTTTAGACAGAAACTCACAATTCAACTACACAATTCTGTGTTAGAGCAGAACATGACTAAAATATGCAAGATATTAGACCCCAGGACAAGCTTTACCTAGCCTTTCTAAATGATGCGTGTACATTGCTTAATGTCCACGAAGCGTAGTACATAGTTGTAGAGAGGAAATTATTGTATGTATTTGGGTGCTTTTAAAGCTTAATATACTACTCTATACTTTGACCAATGGAACGTGAATTTCCACATAAAAATGGAAATCCAGTCTGATTGGTCTTTAATGTTTAACCAGAAGATTTAGAATTCTTTGTTTATTCAGGGATTGTACAACACTTTGCATTAATTCAAGAAGAGAGTCAAGTTTATACAAAGTAAGAATTTATTTTCCAAACAATTAAAAAACATGACAAGTTAACTAATCTTACTGTGGATAGATGGATGTAGGAGGATGGGATGTGATGCATGGTGACTATGTGTGAATGTGAGGTTATCAGAACTTTCGTATCTAGAAGAACTGAATTCTGGGTGTAAAAAGGAAATAATTTGGTTTGCATTAAGCTATGAAGTTGGTTCTTATCAAAAAGGCATCAGATGCAGTCTGTGTCTACCTCACCCTCTCTTTGGAGACCCTCTTCGTGGATCCGAAGGTCAGGGAGGTCGGATGACCTCTGGGCACCGAGGTTTGTAGAATAACGGCAACACAGACTCACCAGTCCAGAGGTGTTTCCGGGTCACAACAGATAGGTGGAACCGTTTCCATGTAGAAGGACTCTTAGGGAGTCGGAACAGTATCAGCTTTGTTTTGCAGGAGCCGTTTGCTGTGTCAGCAGTAGGCAGCTTTTAGCAGGGTTTTTGACTTGCTTGTCAAAAACTGCTCTGGGTTAAAGAGGTTTCGCTCTGGACGACTGTTCCGTAGCTTTCTCTAGAACTGACTCTCCATCTCGTGAGCTCTGTTTTAATATTCTCATATTAAGAATTCTTGTCCAATCGGAACGTGCCATGTTAAGTGATATTACCAAGAATGTCAGAACATCATGCCTTCTTTCAGATACGGATGCTCTGATTTGGGGTAAGGAAATATCTATGTGTCATGAGTTTAACTTAACTTTAATTTATCTCTCTAATGAACCTTGTCTCTGAGTGTAGGTGATGATTGCCTTGTCATATCAAACATTACTGATTACTATATATATATATATATATATATATATATATATATATATATATATAATTTAATGTAATAATTCATTTCATTTCAGTAATTCAAGCACAGATCAATCAACCTTGTTGATTTAAGCACAAATTATTGAAGACATTATTATTATTATTATTATTTCACGAATGATTAACTCATATAAGCTGAAACAGTCACTCTTATAACAGTCCAGTCCGGCCTAGAAAAGTAGGCAGGCTTGGCACAGAAGGACCTTGAGAAGGCAACAGTTTGTTGACAATGTTGTATGTATGTTATCATGCGTTCCAAGCTGCAGAGAGGCCTGGACTCCAGCTGATGGAATGGCAGGATCCGGCAGATTAAAGGCCACAAATGTAGACTCCTGTCTCCATATGGCCAGATACTGAAGGGGTCAAACTGTACATGAAAAATGGACCATACCTGCCGTTACAGTGGATGGGTGTGTTTCCACCAGCTGCAAAGCATTCCATTTTGAACATGTTCCAGAAGCATATAGGGGCACGTGACTTCGCTTAATTTAGGCTTCAAATCAATTTTTTTATGCGCCACTCTTCCAGTATGCATCGAACTAAGTTCAGTTCAGATCGAACCACACAGGAAGTCAAACACAAAAGTAGTGCATATTTCCAGTTGCTTAACTAGTAAAAAAAAAATACCTTATTACTTATTGTGTGAGCTGCTGATATTGCACATGGTCTGGCAATTCTTAAATAATATTGTGTCTTCGCTGCCATTTTGCATCTGAAACACATCCGGTTGGAAGCGAGCCCCTGGGTAAAATGCGTCTACTACTTTACACACTACTTATGCATCCAGTGAAAAGCCAGGGTTAAATAACATTGATCTAATAAATTGAAAAAAGTGAAGATTTGTGGTCATCCTGGTCAAAGTAACCCAAAGGGGTTCAAATGAAGACAACTGGGCTTCTTTGGTTTTTTGAAGTTGTTTCGCTTTGCATCCGAGGAGCTTTATCAATTCTGACTGGAATATGGGAGGGTCAAGCTTATAAAGAGCATTTGTCTGTTGTTGCGTAATGAGCAGAAACCACCTATGAATACCCCCTTCCTATCTTCTGATGAGTCATTGGAGTTGTTAGCCTCTTTTGTGTGGGAATCGTATTGATTAGATGCAGGAGGGTGTGACCTAGACTGAAACTGTTTGGGAATTAGATGTAGAGCTGCATTTTAGGTGCTGGAAAAGTGAAACCCGAGGCCTGCTCTTCTATTTAATGTAGGTTTTTCTGGTTTGACAATGATAGCTTCCTTTTCTCCTCTCTCAAACCATCTATCTTATGCCTAAAATATGTACATTGTCCTCTTCAAAATATGACAAAGTACACAAAGCGCGGATGAGACGCGAAATGTCTTAAAGAAACCAAACAAGTCCAGTTGCCTTCATTCGAACCCCAACATCAAGTCAAATTGAATGCGTCAAAAAGTGAAATAAAGCAAAACCTTCCTAACTTTTTTCTGTTTTACCTTTTTCAGGTATCACTACCGTCTTGACCATGACAACACTCAGCATCAGTGCTCGTCACTCCCTTCCTAAAGTCTCCTACGCCACAGCAATGGATTGGTTTATAGCCGTTTGCTTTGCCTTTGTATTCTCAGCCCTTATTGAGTTTGCAGCTGTCAACTACTTCTCCACCCTTCAGGCCAACCGAGAGCTGCGGAAGGCAGCAGCCATGAAGGCCGCCGCCCAAGAGGCAGCAGCTGCGGCCGCAGCCCCAGCTGTAGCAGCAGGAAACGAGGGAGAGTCTACCTCAGTAAGTCTGAAACACTGGTGTTTTCATGCATCATAGCATTTTCTAATGTCATCCTCATCATCTGTAACTCAACCTTGAATTATTCCAGCTCATGGTAGTGAGGGGGTTTTCAGCTTCTGTAACTTGACTGAAACTAGTGCAAAATGTACTTTTTTCATATTTAATTTTTATGATAACATGTTTTAAACTACTTCAGTCTGTGATTGATACGTATAGTTAATCCTGAAGGAGTCAGACTTTACCTCAAGCAGAGGCTTCTTGTTTTCTTGTGTACAAGTGATGGTTGGTTGGAGCGAGAGATGGGCATTGCTCCAGTTTGTAATTGGAAAAGATGGAACTGAGTCCAAAACTAAAGCTCTTGATATATTAGCCAGCCTACGTTCTTATAGTCCCAGTATTTGGATAGATACTGACAGAACAAGATCTTGGACATGGGTGGTTTCTGATCAGCTTCCCCAGTAAGGCAGTGCCCATATGAGATGGTTCAGACCCATGTCCTATGGAGAGTAGACCTCAGAGCAGGTCAATAATTGGTTGGAGACATTATTCTGTCTATTCTCAGTGGGTAATAACTGCTTTGGGATCCACAAAAGGGTGGGGATAGAGGGGAGTACCACTGGGGGGAGACATGTATGAGTTGCCTTCCTCAATCTGTTATATTTACAACCCAACACTGGATAATGAATGGATAGATGGATGGATTGTGAACAAAATGAAACATGCCTTTGGATTTCTGGGAGTTAAAATATTGGATGCACAATATATTGGCATCAATATCAGTATTGGTCGATGTTAGTCATTTTTTAACATATCAGTATCGGTCCAATAAATAAAACTGGGCCGATATTAACAACCCATTTTTTCTATCTTGTTTCCATTTGTTTATCTGTTTCAGAAGGTAAGGGGGTGATGTATATTTTTTTAGTCTTGTGACAATGATTGTAAACATCTCAGAACCATAAACATGTGTAGTGTGTGTGCATAATAATGTAAATTCAGCTTTAATAATTTTCAATCTATACAACATTTGCTGATTTTAGAAGCATTGTCAGTTTATCGGTATTGACAAACATCAGTTATCGGCCATAACAGTGATATTGATATCAGATATGGGTATTGGCCCAAACATTTCATATCGGTGAATCACTATTAAATATATAGAGAGATTGAATGGGTATGATGACAGATTAACAAATCGGGACCACATGTGTAATGAAAACAAGTAACAAATCCTGAAACTTACTCAAAAGCAGAATTAGAAAACAGAGCCAGACCTAACAGCAGAACATGACATCCTCCATGCATTTTCTGTCAAAATGACTGACATTATTTCTATAATGTTAAGAACCAGGGTGATGGAAAACCAAGCCATTATTTCAGACTAATGTTCAAAATAATTACCATACTGGGGAGTCACTGTCAAGAATTGTCCTAATGCCGTTGGAGGATGTTTTTTGTTAAGATTATCAATTCAAGTTTGATGGCAGAAGCCCTAACCACAAAGCCTCCATCATCACACCCAATGTTTTTCACCCTCAATGTGCTGAGTGTCTGATGACCTGAAACAATTATTTATTGATCTAGAAATCTAGACAAACCGTAGACGTAGCATAAGAGCTCTGTAGGTCGGTCTAACCACATCCCATTGTAGCTTCAGATGTTTTACCATTGGTTTGATGGTGGTGGTTCAGGATTGGTGCACTTAAGAAATGGGATTGGCATCAATATTAGATGATTAAGGTTTTTTTGTGAGACATGAGAAGATGGTCATCATCATTTCTCTTTGTGCCAGGAGGCACTTAAGGCAAGGACATCATTTTTCCACAAGGATCGATTTCCAGCTGCACTTCTTGTTGAGTTCCATGAACACCATCCTGCTCTGTTTCTCTCTGCTTGAGAAGATGGTACATGATGGATTTCCCTGTTGCCTGATTTCAGTCTGATTGGTCCCATCGCTGTCCACTGGCATGCAGAGACAGTTAGAAAGACAATCATAGATACCACCCCTACAACTTAGCTTGTCTATGGGTTGTGGTCAGACTGTTCATTTATATATATATATATATATAGATAGATAGATAGATGATAGATAGATAGATAGATAGATAGATAGATAGATAGATAGATAGATAGATAGATAGATAGATAGATAGATACATAGATAGATAGATAGATAGATAGATAGATAGATAGATAGATAGATAGATAGATAGATAGATAGATATAGATATATATATAGGATGGCTTGACTTTATACTATTTTACTTATTGGACCATGGGGGGTGGGGGTGGGATGCTTCAAGTTAAAAATACCAGGTCACACTTTAAAAATAAATTATTTTGCAACTTTTCCCATCATGTGTGAACTTGACAATGTTCATCTCTTGAATTATGTTCCACTGTAGGTCATCTTCATTACATAGGTCAGAGTAAAGTGGCCAGGAAAATAAGTCAAATGTAAAGTAATCTAAAGATTATAAAAATAGATGTTATAATAGTTCTCATATATAGCCAAGCTTCACTCCATTTTGTTTATCTGCAAACTAATTATGCTATACTATACTATACAATAAAATACTATACTATACTATACTATACTATACTATACTATAGCTTATACTATATGCATTCAATGTTTATTCAGTAAGTTTCACTACAGATTCTGATAATAAATCTGAGTTTGTTTTATGTATTTCATAATCTTTTTTTATTTTTATTTTTGATCTATTTTGGAGTTTTCTTTATCGATTCTTTCATTTAATTTTTTCCCCCTCCAAACCTCAAGCATGGTCAACAAGCCAAAGGCTGTTTTTTACAAAAATATAGCAGCGACCTGTCACGGTTTGAGAACATCAACAGTGGTTAAAGAAACAACTCTAATAGTCGGAATGATTTCTCCTTTTTAGACTCCAGCTCTGTTATGACCAGAGTTTTAGAGCCTCTGTCTCCCTTGTTCAGGAGACTTGGTGGTAGTTCAGTTTGCTGTGAGATGGATTCCCCCCCCCCCCCTCTTTGTGTAGTTTAAAGATTCTTCAAATGCTTTGATGGATTAGATGGATCTGTTTGTTGCCATCTGTGTGGCGAGGTAAATGGCGAGCTTTTTCAGTGGATCAACATCCAACCTGAGAGTGAGTGGGCAAGGGGAGGTGATTTCTTAAAGTGTTCTGTTTGTTTATTTGGATTGTCTTGGCTCAACATTCTGCAAATATTTCAACAGCATTGCAACAACAGCAGAAACATTCAATATTTCCTAAATGTTTTCCACTCTCATGAACTCAGTAGCAGGCTAGAGTCAATCCCAACGGAGCTTCTACACAAACACTGCAACAAATCCAGTTTTTGAAGTTTTATGAAGATTCATTGGTTTCATAATTAAGAATAGTGGTAGATTACATTTACACATTTATTTTCATGCAAATGCATCCTAACAACATAATAAAACACATACAAGGCAGCTTTATTTGTGTTGCACAACTCATACAGGGAGGCAGTTCAGTGTGCTTTCCATTAGTGAGAATTGCACGGAAATTCAAATAATAAATAAAATATACAAATACATTTAGACCAAATTAAAGGCACACTTGGCAAATTTACTTGCTTTTAGCACCCCCTAGTGTCCATTTAGAGAACAAAAGAAAAACTTAGTAGGTCTTTTAACACCTTGATCAAGGGCTATTCGATTCCGGGCCTCGAGGGCCAGTGTCCAGCAGTTTTGGTTTTAACCCTGCTTCAACACACCTGATTTCAATCAGTAGTTTATTAACAGGCTTCTGCAGAGCCCGATGAGCTGCTGCACAGGTGATTCAACCAATCAAGTATGTTGGAGCAGAGAAACCACTAAAACGTCCTGGATACCAGCCCTCGAGACTTGGAATTAAATAGCCATGCATTAATCTAAACGATTAATCTAATCTAAAATTTTCAATTTTGTCTTAAAAGTTACTAGAGAAGAAGAAGAAGAAGAAGAAAATATCATTTCTATAGCGCCTCTCAAGAAAAAATCACGAGGCGCTTCACAAAAACAAAAAATGTAAAAATATATAAAAAAGCATTTAGAAAATGTTTAAAAATATATTTCAAATGAGCAAAAAGAGACAATTGTGATAAAAATGTTAAGAGAGAGAGAGAGAGAGAGAGAGAGAGAGAGAGAGAGAGAGAGAGAGAGAGAGAGAGAGAGAGAGATAATAGGAAAAAGGGAAATCAGTGGTTCCTGAGGAAGGTGGAATAGGTGAGGAGAGCAGAATAAAGAGAGAGTTGTGAAGAAGGTCATACAAAAGCCAGCTTGAACAAGTGAGTCTTCAGCTGCTTGAAGGAGATGTACAGTTGGATGTCATCTGCATAAAGATGGTAGGAGATTCATTTGAAGGAGCTCAGGATGTGCTGAAGAGGAAGCAGATAGAGGAGGAAGAGCAGAGGCCCCAGCACAGAACCTTGTGGGACACCATGGGTAAGAGAGCTGGTGGAGGACCTAAACTTGGAGACGGCCACAGAAAAGGAGCGCTCAGAGAGATAAGAGGAGAGCCGGGACCGATGGACTGAAAAGCACTTTTAAACACAGATGAGGGTAAGATGTCGAGGGGGCATGCAGAGGTCTTCATAGAGTTAACTAGTTTGGTTAACTCAGGCAAAGAAACAGGAGCAAAGCTATCTAGGATGATGGGCCTGGTTGGAGTCGGGAGAGGCAGCGATAAGGCTGAAGGAGAGATGCTAGATCTAACCTTACTGACTTTGTCCACAAAGAAAGACAGAAAGTTCTCACAGTCTACAACAGAGTGGATGGAGGCTGTAGGAGTGGCAGGAGAGACGATGCTGCTGATGGTGTTAAACAGCACCTTGGGGTTCCCTTTGCTCTGGGACACCAGGTTGGAGAAATAGGAAACCCTAGCGTCTCTGAATGCAGAGTTAAAGGATGTTAGAAGATCCTTTAGGTGCAGCAGATGAACATGGAGATGGGTTTTCTTCCACAAACGCTCAATTTTTCTGCATTGGCGCTTCAGGCT